TTTTCCGAATATGCCTTTAGCCATTTTGACATGTGCATTCAAAAGTGGTAGAAACAAGACTCACCCAACATCTCATGTGTGATAATACCCACCTCTAAAGACTGCTCTTTTAAGATGTGACAAGAAATGTGGAATGGAACCATTATTGTTTAACTTCTCCCCTCACCAATAACAGCAGAACTAGGATCAAGGTAAAAACCAAGGCTAGCTTGGGTCACCCATCTGTTGCCCTTTCTTTCTCTTGGCTAGCTTTTATCCTAAAACAAAGATGTGCAGGCATGGGAAATTATCCTTAAAACTCACATTCTTTTAGGTCTTAGTTGAGTCCTTAAAACAACTGTCAGGAAAACCTTTTTCCAGGCAGTTTAAGTAAAAATGTTGTTTCTGGAGTCTATAAGGATATATGGAATATGGAACAAAGTTATAATTTTGCTGAATGAAAATATAACCACCCAATTCTGTGGGCTAGAAATTTGGCAGGAGTCCTTGGTTGGGACAGCATCATAAACAAATAATGGACAGTGACGTCCATGGCTCCCTGGCTAGATATGCTCAAAGAGGAGCCAGCGGCTTCATCAATATGCCATCATTTAGCTAAGTTAAATAAACTGCCCCCCCTTATAAAATTAACGGGTTTGCCAATTGTGGTGTGGGTGTGTTGGCTGGAATTTTCCCCGGGTTACCAAGGGGCGGTGGTGGTAAATTCGGTAGTGAAGTTAGAGCAACGTTGATCTCTGCTGTCTCTACACACACATACCAATCCACGTATAACAGTGATCCCCAACCTTTTGGACGCCGCGGCCCGGTACCGGCATCAGCTGGGCGCCGCCATCTTTTTTTGATGAAAATGTGCTTCCAGTGAGCTTTCTACCCGGAAAAGCTCACCGGAAGCACTTTTTCATGAAAAAAAGATGGCGGCGCCCAGCAAGCCAGCGGCCCGGTAGGAGTTGTTCCGCGGACCGGTACCGGTCCGTGGACCGGTGGTTGGGGACCCCTGACGTATAAGACAGGTAGATTCTGTGCTGCTTTGAAAGGCTCTGGGCCATTATTGATCCTACGCTGCCAGCTGGGAGGGTGCATTTCCAGCTCAGCTCCTAGTACGGTATTTCCATGGAAGGGCTTAAATCAGGGAGCTCCAAGGAAGTTTGTGAGCATTAGAAATGAACAAGGCAATTCATAGAAGCCAGCATCGGTTTGTGAAAAACAGATCACACCATACAACATGTATTGCCTCCTTTCATAAAGCGCCTAAGCTAGTGGATCGAGGAGATGCTGTGGATGTGATATACTTAGACCTCAGTAAGGCATGTGACAACATGGACTGCAATGTATTTCTTGGTAAGATAGAAATCTGTGGGTTAGGTAGCATCACAGCCAGATGGATCCGCAGCTGGGCGACCAACCACACTCAGCAGGTCCTACCTCAACGGAACCTACCTGGAGGGAAGCGTGCAGTGGGGCATCCCAAGGTTCTGTTTTGGGCCCATCTTCATCAATGATCTAGATGAGACAATAGAACGAAAGTTCCTCAAATTTGCAGATGACATCAGGCCCGGCGGGGGTGGGGGGGGAATTTGCTAACCCTTTGGACAGATTCAACATTCAAAAGGATCTGGACAGGCTTGTTGTTCAAGTAACACTTTATATTGCATCCAATTGTGCAGAGAAGAGCAACAAATGCAATTAGGGGACTGGCAGCTAAATTGTACGATGACTGGCTAAGGGAGCGAGGGGTGCCTACCTAAGGAAGAGAAGAAGGAGTGGGGACATGGTAGCCACCTTCCCGTATCTGAAAGGCTATCACAGAGAAGAGGGATCAACCAATTCCCCAAAGCATCAGAGGGCAGTGCAAGAAGTCACGGGGAGAAGCTCCTTAAAGAGACTCCAACCTAGAACTATTGAGAAATTTCCTAATGGTGGAAGCAAAGAATCAACGAAACAGTTTGCCTTGTGGAGTGATGGGTGCTCCGTCCCTGGAGGTTTCCAAGAAAAGATTGGAAACCATTTGTCCAGGATGGTATATGTTATGTATTAACATACTTACCTGCAATTGGTCGGTCCGTGGCGGCAGGAAATTTGAAGAGCCGTCACTGGCCACAGCCGCAAGCAGCCCGACTGTAAAAGGACTGCCGCGGTTTCTTCGGCGCTCAGTCCTAGAAGGAAGTAAAGACAACTGGTTACTATGCTGGTGTCCTGAGTCTCATTCACGTGATCTAACAGTATAAGGGCTCCTGCCTTGGGCGGGGGGGTTGGACTAGAAGACCTCCCAGATCCCTTCCAACCCTATGATTCTGCAATTCTAAGAGAACTCTCTTTCCCATTGACAGGAAGGTTTGCCCCATTCTGCTTCCCAGTAATAGCGCTTAAGGCAACTCAATATTTTTTCCAGCCCAATTTCAGCTTGAAATATACGGTTGATCTGGAGAACTTCGAAGTCTGTAGGAGTGAAGACAGATCCTGTAGTTGCACGTGAAGGACTGTGGAGGGCAACACAAAAGCATTTTTGTCTCCAAAATTACTACTTGGGATGCATATTTTACATTCCTGCAATCTTGCAAACCTCTTAAGACAGCAGCCAGCTTTCATTGTCAGAATATGCAGTCTATTTCAGATGTCACTCCAGCACTGATCCGTTATGGCGAATTTGGAACCAATCCAAAGTGAAGATACCCCAATAGCATAAAAATTATCACAGGATTGTCATTGCACCTTAATGTTAATTATGCAGTTCGAACGTTTAAGTATCAGGCAGGGCTGACTCAGTGGAATCTTCAAGCATTAAAAAAATCAGCACTTTTGGCAAAAAGAGAAAAGCTGAATTTTTCCCTCTGTGTGCCTGATTGTCAGTTCACACTTATTTGTGACATTTCTTTGCTAGTTTAATCTTGGATCCCTGGAGGCTTTCTTGGTTTCATGCCCAATTCATTTTCTCTTTCAATGCAGAACAACTATCACATCATCCAGAGATTTCCCTTCTAACCACAAAAAGACGATGGATAAATAAAGAACATACACTTATCATAGCTGTTTCCAAAAATGCCCTCATAAATAAACTTTTCTGACAGTATTTTACTGAAATAAATATTGCTTTAAGCCAAGTTAAAATTCAGCTGATGTTTATTTAGAACCAAACAATCTTTCTTTTAGGTGCACTTCTGTTTTAAGGCTACTCTTGGCATCCCTGGTTTGGGGAATCAGCTTGCATAGGTTTCAGGAAACTGTGAGAAATTCTTGAATTGCCAATTGTGAAAAACAGGGTGTTTTGCCCCTAATTTCTCAAGCAGGAAACCCAAATCCTTGGCGTTATTGGGTGTCCCTTCAAAGGCTCCAGGAAGCAAAAGGCAACTGATGATGGAGCCTCATGCTTGGTCGCTTTAGTCAATCATCAATCAACCAATCAAACGTTTATGGTCAACGCACAACATGTGTACAATGAAACTGTACAGGGCAGGCCAAGCCAAGGAACAGGGCCAGTGAGCATCCCATCTCTCTCTTGTGGTGGGGCATTATAGCACAATCCTGACTGCCTGCCCACCTTTCTCTCTCTGCTCCATCTGACCTTAACCAAAATCACTCCTTTGAGTCTCATACTTTCCTCTTTTGGAGGACTGACTCCAAGATCCTCCCCTTCTTGTCCTCAAGGCGGTCGTCGCTCCTTGCAATGCGCACACACGCACAGGTTAAGAAAACCACCCACCCAGGGGGAAAACGGGGATGGCGGCAGCAGCTTTGCGCAGCCCTCACTCTTCAGCTCCCCGAGTTTCCCAGCCGAGATGCGCTGGCTAAGGACTTGTCAGGGTTGATATTCGGTGCAACTGGGGGCCCATCCTGGCAAAAGCCAAACGGCTCCATCCTGAAGTAGAGGACTGCGGGGGTGATCATGGTGTCCTGCCCCTCCGACCCCGTCCTCTGGCCCTCCTCTCCCCTGTTCTGGCCATCGGCTTCACGGGGTCCAACAGAGGCAGACCTTAGCTTTGGAACTTGATGGAGATTTGACCAAGAGGGAAGGGGGAGACAAGGAGGGGGCCAGGGAGGACCATGCAGATTCAGGCAGCTTTATTTCACTCCATGCACGTACAATACGATGCTTCACACTCCATAATTCCCAACCAATGAGGCAAATTGGGCCAGTCTAAAGATTCCCTGGAAATAGCTGTGCTTTGTGAAAAGAGGGGGGGGGGGCAGAGAGAGGGAAAGAGGAAAAGGAAATTAAGGACTTCTCACCTGCCATAACCTGGCAGAAAAATGCCAAATGAAAGCAATGCATTTTTCTAGAGATGGAGGGCAAATGAAATAACAGCTGTATTAAATGTCCAATAATTTGAACATGATGTTTTGTTTAATCTTTTAAAGAAATATATACAGTATTTTAGTTTAAAACCTCTCTCCAAATTGTTATGTACACTGAAAGCTCTTTTGCCCAATGAAAATATGTCATTGCTGGCATCCTTAAGATTACAACCTGTGTTCCAGAAGGAGACTTTGGTGTTTGTTTTCAACGTGTAACCCCCCCCCCCCCCACCGGTCACTGTGAGTTGGGCAGCCGCAGGAATCTATGATTCCATAGGAACTTCTTAGAAGTAGAAATAAGGAAATAAATAAAGGGTGGAGAACATGACATCTCTATCCAGAAGAAGCCATGAGGTTGTTATGCACATCAGGACACACAGGAGGTCACTTCCCACTCTAGAGCCCTCCCCCACTCCCCAATCCCCCCCCCCCCTACAAAAGGAGAAACCGGCAAATGAACGCAAGAGTAGTAAAGGGCAGGTTTGGAGGAAGGATAACAAGATCTGCTTGGGCTTCATCAGGCAATTGTAGTCAAGGAAAGAGCTTAATATTTCCTTGAAAACCATGGTACTCGCTGAAGATAAAACTGGACTGTGGTATCAAACTAATTCACTTCAGAGATTGCTTCAAGGAAAATGATGAAAATGTGCTTTCCTGAACAGTGACAGAAAGTAAGCACGGTGCAAAAGTGTTAATATCACCCCAATTCATGTCCTGCTCTCTTTTCCAGCAGGGAAATTATTTTGTCATCCACACATGGAGATAATGGATTACCAGCTGGAGTTTTCAGCAACCCAAATTCCCTCTTCCTTTTGGATGGGCGTGTCCAACTTTCTCTGGGCTTGCAAACTCAAGAGAGGCATTTGTTCCTCTTCAGCAACATGCTAATTGTGGCCAAATCCAAGTAAGTATGAGCAAACATTTGATCCTCCAGCTAATTCTCTTTGCTAGTAGCAAATGTTGGGTTCGTACAATGTATGAATACCAAAGCAAACCCATCACATGAGGCCTTGGTGTGAACCCTGCTTTCTAATTTGTAACCATGAGGTAAGGCGGGGGTGTCAAACTCACCATCATCACAGCAGCGTCACGTGACGTATTGGAACTTCCCCCCCTTTGCTAAAACCGGGTGGGGGTGGGGCCAGCACGTGGGCCGCGACTTTGACACCCCTGAGCTAAGGCAAATCAAGCCAATAGGTGGTGATTGGGCCATGTGATGCGATGATAGGTGCAGGGGAGGGATTTGTAGTTTTGACTTATTGCAAGGAAGTCCGGAACTTTCAGATTTGGGATTTCCCAGTTGTGTCAAGTTTATTATCCAAAATAAAAAGAACTTTTCAGAGGATGTCTTTCTCGGGGTTATTGGTTGGAGTGTAGAGTTGCTGGAACGCTGACATTGGGTTTGTTTCAGAAAGGAAATGATGGCACACGGGACTTGAGTGTGAGCTGCTTGTCACTTTAGGTGTGAGCGAGTGTGTCCGTGACTCTGTGGGAGAGTTCTTGGTTGCTGCGTGCAGGAGGAGACGGATCAGGGACTCTCGTTGGGATCTCTGAATTCTGCGAATACGCTTAAGAGAAATCTCCCTGGCTTGTCACACAGGTCTTCTTCTAGCTTGAAACTGAAGAAGAAAGTCCACCTGAGTGAAGTATGGACCGGATCCTGCCTTAGTGAAGTGTCAGAGAAGAAAATGAGTCCAGACACCTCTTTTGTGATTGGCTGGCCGACTGTGAATTATGTCGTCACTTTCAGGTAGTGTCCATAGACCCCTGTCTTTGTAAGGGACCCCTGTGGCAAGAGATGAACCCAGACCCAGAGCAGATGCTCTGCCCTCATCAACAAGGGGCGCCTTCCTGCTTACGACAAGGGCAAAGTTGCAACTGAGGAGATGGGGAGAAAAGGGGGGCATTCATATGCGCAATCCTCACCCAAACAACTCCGCTCACCCTAAGGGTTGCTTAGCCATGTTAGGTAAACCAGCAGTTTCAAGGGTAACTGAGAAAAATAACTGTGGGTAAAATTCACGGTATCTCCTTCTGGCAGCCACTCTCAACAGTGGCACCCTCCAAACTGTTCGCCTTCGTCCCGTTGGCAGAGGAGAGACCCCCCCCGGAGATAATAGGGGCTGCTCGTTCCCTGTGGTTGAGAGGCAGAACGAGGGGGCCTTTGATGGTCTCCGCAGACCTTCCCTTAAAATGCCCAACATATGGACCTCTGGAAGCAAAGGCGAGGCTCAGATCGCAGGATACCCCAGAGGCCTTTCATTTCTACCTCCTGTCCAGGGAGTCAAGAAGATCATGGATTATTCCTCACATATATTTCCTACGGTCTCACAAACAAGTTGCAATCAATCAGTCAGTAAACAAAAACTACCCTCATTAAGATTATAGTTATAAAGCGACGATGCCCTGATATTTGGCTAAAACTACCCTATCAAGCGTTAGCTTCTTTTGAAATCTCTCAGATCTTTTATTGCACCACAGAATTTCCCAAATCCAATTTTTCTTCTATATTTTTATGGAAGATTCTGGCAGATAACATATCTTTAGCCAGTTAATAGTGTTTATCCAGCCCAGGTCGATGACATAAATGCAGAAGGAATTTTGCACATGAATTCGGCGCGGCGAGTGTCTCCCCGTGAACAGGCGGAGAGAAGCCGCCCTGGGGTGAGGCTCCCCACTCCAGAGCCTGTCAAAGAGGCGGGCGGTTTCCTCCGCCCAGCGGCACCCAGCGGGGGGAGAGGGGAGGGGGGTAGGATGTTGCACTGACCCTTGGCAGCCAAGGACCACCAGAGACGGGAGTATCGCAAGGGCTGAGCTCCGGGCCCAAACCTTCAGGCTAGGCCTGGCTTTTGCAGCAACATCCGTTTATGGGCACTGTTTCCCCCACGTCCCTGAAGCTGCCTGCCAGGGAAACGGCTTCTAGGAATTGTGCAAGAGAGGAAAGTGGGGGGGGGGGAGTACAAGCTAAAACCTGGATCCGGATCTCTTGCTTCTGGGGCTGAGCTTCTCCCTGCTGCTCTGAGCCGCCGGCCAGGAAACCCGGCTCAGCCAGACCGTGTGCAGCGGGGGAAAGTGGCAACAATCCCTAGTCCTCCACTTATGGCCACACCCGAGCCTCAAATTTAGGTTGCTAAGTGAGACATTTATTAAGTGAGTTTCCCCCATTTTACGACCTTCCTTGCCACTGTTGTTAAGTGAATCATTGCAGTTGTTCAGTTAATAACAGGGTTGTTAAGTGAATCTGGCTTCCCACTGACATTGGTGGTCAGCAGTTCCCACAAGGGCTCCCATGTTCTCCAGGACAGTGTGGCCGCCAGACAGAGGAGTCAGCTGAGAACCTCTGAGTCTCCATCGCGTGACTGAGGGGAGGCTGCAGTGGTCATAAGTTCCTTTTTCGGGTGCCGTTGCAACTTCCAGCGGTCACTAAATGAACTGTTGTGAGGACTCCCTGGAGAACAGCCCTGAGTGTGACTGACCAAAGAAAGAGTTGTGGGTAGTTAAGCATGAAAGCTCAGAGTTCACCCTTTTTTCCCTAGCTATATTTGATTGTGGAGGGATAGTATATCGGCCAATACATCTTAAATACACAGGTGTATGCTATGTATTCTCTTACAGCTGCAGCATATCTGTATGTCCACCCATGTGCACAGACACACATGACACTCTCGCCTCTTTAAAACAATTACAACATTTTGCTCCTTCTAATCCCTCTTTGCAATCAGTTGATTCTCTCATGCAAAGTTCCATCAGTTTTGCTCATCCTGTCCGTACCTCAGCCTGAATTTTACCGCCAAGGGCTGGTTCCTTAAAAGGAGCAGCCTTTTCCTGCTGCTGCCGCCGCCGCTGAGGTCTGCTGGGGGACCCCAGCCCCAGCCCCGCACCCACCGGCAGAAGCCTTCAAGGCCAGGAAGGAAGGAGGACACCTCAAGTATTTCCTCCTTGGCAGAAGTAGAACCCAGAGCCGTGTCACACCTAAGATTTGGGGGTTTGCAGATCAATATAGTAAAGTTGACAAAAGCTGTGTGATATCATCCTGCCTCAGTGTTTTTTCTTTATTTCCAGCTCTTCGGAAGTGAAGGAAAGATGGCTGTCCATGCTGCTCTGGTAGGAGATGGCTTCTTCCTTCTTTTCTGCTCTGGGTTATTGCATCCTTGAATACTCGAATACAGCTCATCAGTCTGGAACCCACATTACCTATCTGATATTAACACAGTTGAGAAAGTCCAGAAATATTTCACAAGAAGAGTTCTCCACTCCTCTACTCGTTGCAGAATACCTTATGCCACCAGACTCGAAATTCTAGACCTAGACAACCTAGAACTACGCTGCCTTCGGTGCAATCTAAGTATAGCATATAAAATCATACATTGCAATGTCCTCCCTGTCAATGAATACTTCAGCTTCAACCATAACAATACAAGAGCACACAATAGATACAAACTCAAGGTTAATCGCACCAAATTTGATTGCAGGAAATACAACTTCAGCAACAGAGTGGTCAATGTCTGGAATACTCTACCTGACTCTGTGTTTTTTTCCCCCAAACCCCAGAAACTTTAACCTTAGACTGTCTACTATTGACCTCACCCCTTTCCTAAGAGGTGTCTGTAGGGGGTGTGCATAAGCGCACCAATGTGCCTACCGTCCCTGTCCTATTGTTTCTTTTATTTTTCTTATATGTATCCATCTATTCATAACTATGTTTATACTTATGCCTATTATCTTGTAAGCAATTGACAAATCAAATCAAATAAATAAATAAATAAAAAGTCCTGATCAAGAGCAGGGAGGCCCTGCCAGTGAGCCAAGAATTAGAGTTGTGGGGCAGGAGATTCCCTGCCTTCCTCTGTCCTCCCTGTTTCAGCAGCCTCGAGATGAAAGGAGACCTGGACTGAGAAAAACGGGGAGTGCCAGCTTCATTTTATGACATACTTGCTCCCCCTCCCACCCCCCAATGGTGGCTTCCCCCATTTTAGTCCATTCTGGGCATTCACGAGGTAGGACATCACCTTGGGCAGATCCCCCATCTCCACCGAATAATGGAATTCCAATGAAATCTCTGTGGGGGTTCCAAAATTCCCAGGCAGAGGAGTTTTAGGATTCCTCAGAGGACATTAAATGTCTTTTTTTCTATTCAACTTAATACAATTATACTGTGCAGCACAGCATTTCTGAACTCACCTTCAATATTTGAATTACAGGCACATCTATGAAATGAAGCAGACTGAGTACGCCAGAACTTTGCCCATGCAGATTTTGGTGATGGACAAGGAGAAAAGCTCTTCTGTGAGTAATCAAGAAATTGTTGTTGTTGTTAAAAGCTGAAAGAAAAACTGCAACTTAAACTAATGAGTGAGGGAATCCAAGCTTCCAAAATAACATCAATAGGTGAAGAATTTCTTTTAGCCAAAATTCAGTGATCTTTCCGTCATTAAAGAGTGTTAAACATATTTGAAAAATCAGGGAATTTAAATTCAACCCCTGCTTCCATGCCAAGAATGACATTTTAGGATCACAGGTAAAATGCATTGGACTTTTTTGTTTGTTTGTTTGTATAAGAACTTGGGGAGAAGAAAAATGTTAATACCAAGTTTTTGTTAATGACCTCTTCAAAATCATTCTACAACTGCAAGAAGAATTTGGATGTGATCACAGCTGCAAGATGAGACTTTTGCAAATAGTGATGCTCCCTGGAAACAAAACTTGAACTTTGAAGAAGAGGATAAAAAGAGTACCGGCATTTTTGGATATTGATATTGGAGAAGAGTCCTGAGAGCTCTGTAGATAGCCAAGAAATGGGCACGTAGATGATCAGACAAATGAAAGCAGAGTTCTCACTTGAGGCACAAGTGCCCAGCCTCAAATTACCCTGCACATCTGCAAAGGTCCAGCTCTCTGGAGGAAGCTTTGATGCTGAGAAAGGTGGGAGGAAAGAGGACACTCAACCTGAAGGTGGACAGAGGCGATTCAAGTGGCCACTGGTCACATTGAGCATAGATCATCCTGGAGTTTGGCCTGTCTGGGTGGTTGCCGGAGTCAGCATTGACTTGGGGGCACATAATATTTAATCAATCAATCAACATTTCAGAATGACAATGTATTTTTTAAAAATTGGGATCTGATATTAGCAGTTTCTGAAGCTTCCAGATTGCAAAGTCTAAAGCTCCTATTTATTGCTATAGAAAACCAAGGGCTTCCTCAAGGTGGATATTACTAATTTGTAAGGCCTTTGGAATTCAGAGCTAGAATATCATAATGTGACAAATGAGTAATCTTATATGTTAAAGAATGTTGCTGTAAATATGTTTCATATAATGATATTAATTCATTAAAATATTCTTTTTCAGAAAGGAATGGGTATTATTAAGATGTATGTTTGTTTTATTTAGAACACCACATTAAGCATCTCCAACATGGAAACTGCTGACAATATTATCAAAAAGGCCACAGAAAATTTGGGGGTTCCTGTAAGTATAAGTATAACATCCGGTCAAAAATGGCTCAGTGACATTGGTGGGGAGAGGAATGGCTCCTGGCTTTCCTCAGAGAGAGCGTGAGAGAGAGAGAGAGAGAGAGAGAGAGAGACAGAGAGAGAGAGAGAGAGCGTGAGAGAGACCCCAGATCCAGCGATCCAGGTGGATCTCTCCATTAGCCTATGAAGCAAGTCAGCTGCTGAAGTGGAGAAAGTGTGGAAGTATCTTCATTAAAATCCTCTTTGCAAAATCCCTAAACGCCAGATACTCCACAGAGAAACAGACAGTTGTCCCTCCTAAATCGTAACGTATCATGGTGAGGTGACTTGTGCAGAAGCAATTCTGCACAAGGGTTGTCCCATGTGGCCACCTTTGGCCTGGCCCAGCTGAGCATATGGCTGGTCCTTTTCTTGAGAGAACCACTGTAAGGAAGTCTCTAGTCATGCAAGCAGGTAGCCTAGTTGCATGTCGGAATGCAGTCGTTGTGCCCTCGTGGGGACCTAGGCCCTGTTACTTATGAGCCTAACCGAGGCACACAGTCCATGAGGTGGCCTTCCCCGGGTGGGTCAGGGAGGGCAGAGCTGCGGTCCCAAAAGCCTCTTCCAAACAGTCCTTTTCACAGCTATGGGAGGACGGAGTTCCAAGCCATCTTTGCCGTTGTTTGTGCTGGGCCATAAGTGTGTGTATATAGGAATGTTTGTATAAAATTAAAGGGAGGTTCACTGACCCAGTTGTGCTGGCCCTGCAACCTTTGCATAGATGAGGTGCGGTGCAACACAGCGGGTGGGTGCTTGCTTGGACTTGCATCTTCCTGGCTGCTTGTCTTCCCCTCTCCTGCACCTGCACCTTCCTTCCAAGGCCAACACTTGGTTGCCTCCCATGAGATTCATAATCCTGGGTTTCCTGATTCCCTCCCTGCCTCCTTCCAGGCGTGGCCTGTTCATTCTCCTTTCTATTGTTTTTGTATCCAATTGCTCTCCTCCTTCTACAACTTCATCTTCACTCTTCTTCTCTCCTTCCATTCCCAGGGTAGACCAAGTGACTATCACCTCTGGGTCATTTCAGGAAGGGACAATCCTGCATACCCTCTGATTGGTAAGAACTCCTCCTTTCTCGAAGGGAGGCGGGAGTGGGGAGAGCCGTGGCAGCTGCAGCTGGGATTGGTGATTCACCTTAGCCAAGATGGGTGGAGTTAACTACATCCACAAGGCTTTCAAAAGACCTTTTCTGTGTTGTTCTAGCCAAAAGCCTTCTTGTTAGTGCAATCAAAGTCTCTCTCTCACACACACACAAGCACAGTACTGTATAGACAAGGGTAGAGAATATGTGGCCCTTCAGGTGCTCTTGAACCACCTCCTATCAATCAATCCCAGCCAGCAAGCCAGAGAGAGACGGTCCTGGTGGTGTAGCAATACCTGGGGTGCCATCACTTCTCCACATATCTAGTGCAGCCTTGAGCCTCGGTTTGGATTGACAGCTAAGTGGGAAGAAGTCTGAAAGCTTTTCCTGTTGAAATGGAGGCCAAGAGGGGAATGGCCTGTCCCATAGGACTCTTTCTCAGAGTGCCCAAAGGCCGTTTCATAACTGCCAAAGGATTATAATTGGGACTAAGATCTCTGGAGCCAAAACTGGTGAGAAGGCCCCCATTGTTGTCTCTACGGACCAGTTTCCCTTCAAAGCGGCCCCTGGGGTGCAGCCAACCAGTAAGCCCATCACAGCGGCCTGCAGTGGGAGCCCTTGTGAGAGAGTGGTGGGCCCACAGGGAGCCTCATGAACTGGAACTCAAACGGTGCAGGATTTGGGGCGGGGTGGGGGGTCTACATGGGAAGGGTCACTCTGGTGGCGAACTGCCCTCTCTCTCTGTTGGCCAGGCCTTTGCAGCCTGCCCAGCCGCCATGAGTTGAGGGAAGAGAAGAGCCGGCCCTGCTGCTTTGCAGCCTCCTCGGCTGTTCTTCAGAACGCCTGACTGGCCTTCCCAGGAATCCTCTTCATTGGCACAGCCAAATTCTGCTCTACACGGGTCTCCGTTGTGACCCCTTGTACTGTGAGAACTAGGCCCCAAGGGTGTCCTCCAAGGGGGGGGGGAGGGTCAAGCTCCTGCTGAGACAAGAGACACCTTGTCCCCGCTGAGCCCTTTTCTGAGCGCAGCATCTCCCATGGAGACCGTTACAGTCCAAGAAGGCTACAGTAGAGATCCTGGTGTCCATGCCCGCTTACATTTTCATTTCCACATCCCATCGCAGAGCCCTGAGACGACCTTGCTGACCCCAGGGGTCCACAGACCACCGGTCGAGAACCCCTCAGGTGGGTGGGGAATTGGGTGGCATTGGCAGGCACATTTCTGTGCCCTCCTCTGCATTGGAGCCCAGAGGTCGGTGGCAGGAAAAAAAACATGGTTTCGTATCTTCTGGCGGTTCGGTGGCTGGCAGCGTCCTTTTGAACCAGAAAGGAGCAATTTCCCCTTTTTGCATTGCCTTCCCTTCCAGAATTATGTGCGTGGATATCTCCCCTTTCTTAAAGTCAGGATATTTGGGGAAGCTTCTCAGGATCGGTGGTGGATCAGGCTTTTTGGCAAGGGGATGATGGGGCTTCATCTATTTGTGAGGCAAGCAATCATCTGCTCTGCAGCCGCACAGCCTTATCAGGAAAACCCTGCTGTCAAGGAGAGATTATTCCCCTTCCCCCCACCCCCTTTAGCTTCAGGCTGATCTCATTTCCTTGCTCAACAGCTGGACCACAGCTGGCTTGGGTCACTTGTCATTCTGCAGATATTCATACTCTGGGCAACTCAGGCTGCGATAATTCCGTTTATGGCAGCTTAAAGTGAACGGGGTCAGGCCAATAAGAAAACGGGACCGCTGAGGGCCAACAGCTGCTCCCTGGCTTGATTTGATCAGTCACTGTGACGGGCCTTCCTGGGCTCCTGGGGTGGGTCTCCTTCCCCTGGACATTGGACACGCCTGGGCTCAGCCTCCTTCAGCCATAGGGCCCTGAATCCCAGTGGGCCGATTCTTCTGCTGCTTGTTATTTCCCAGGCTTAAAGCTCGCCAGGCCTCTTGGCCTTCAGCAGAGCACTAAGCCAGCCTGTTGTTGTTGTTGCCACAGGACATGAGCATCCCTTCAGTATCATCCTGGGTTGCCTCCGAGGCTCCGTGGACCAGTGGCCAGGCCCCAGCAACGGCCTGCTGCTTCCCGAGGAGCAGGAAACATCACGGCTGGAGCAGCTGCCCAGGAACCGGCAGTGCCACTTCATCCTGAAGCCCAAGCCCCAGGTTCCAGGGCAGTTGCGGAGAGGTAAGAGGTCCTGTCATAACGTGGAGCCAGCCAGGCCGTGGAGAGATTCAGAGCAGGGGTGGGGCTTCAAAGTGGCTTTTGCCACCAGTTTGGTGGGTGTGGCTTGGTGGGCCGCTTTGCACACATGCGCGCACCAAATGTGGCAACCGGCTGTGCTGCGCAAAGCAGCTACGCTTCAAAAGCAGGGAATAAAGGTCAGCATGGGAGCCCGGCGGGCAGGTGGGCCCAACGGCAGCTCCTCAGAGAGAACCGGTCTCCGCTGATCTTGGGCGCTACCAGTAGGCCAGAACCGGGCCCAGCCAGTAGAATAGCACCACTGATTCAGAGCCACGGAGTGAGACACCCAGGCTCAGCACACTCCCACAGTCTCCCTAAGGCCATTTTCTCAATGTGGGTCCCAGTCCCACTAGAAGCCATGGCTGCTGACACCCCGGGAAAGCCGTCCACGCAGCCCCACAGACCCTGGAGAGCCAGGCTGCCCCAGAGGCTGTCTGGCTATGAATGGCCCGTTTGGCAACTTTTGAGCCTCTTTGGCCACGCAGGCTGACTTAATGCTTCCTGGGACTGTGGTCTAATCAGGCCAAGGAGGATAGCACCACCCGCGCCCTACGAGGGACCGATTTCTCAGGCACAAATGGGACTGGCCCCAGAAGGCCAGATCCAGGGGGAAACTGGGGTTCTGCCTGCTGTTTGTGACTTCAAGACTGTCCAAAGGGCACAGCGGCCCAAGTGCGCCAGGCCTGAAGCCCCCAATGGTTCCCTCCTTCTGGTGCCGAATCACCCAGCCTGATTCCTTTCTCTGGGGTGAGGCAGAGTAGGGAGAGCATGTAAAACTCCACCTTCAGGAACACCAAAATGTTCCCCAAGGAATCAACAGTCAGGAAAACTGAGGCTTTCTTGGCTCAGGGCCGCTTTCCCAGGCAAGTTCGACCCTTTTGCTGCCCTGCTGGTTGTAGCGCTTCAGAAAACGGCTCAGAATTTGATGGTCAGTTGTTCCTTATTCTTACCTTGATTAAAGAGGGGGATGGAATGAAGCCCAATGAACTATAAAGACTTGTGGTTAAGATACTCTGAGATGGAACTTCATGGACAGTTTTGGACAGAAGCTCTTTCTCAGTTCAACCCAGCAGGCGGGGTGGTCATTGTAGCTAGAAAATGAGAGGTGACCACCCCCCGGGACCCTGCCTTGAACTAGCAGGGGTGAAAATGGGATAACAAATAGGATGAAAATGCCAGAAGGCATCACGTTCGTCAGGCAAGGAGTCCTTCACCTGGGTCTTCATGAGCCGCCTTCCTCCGCTCCGGCTCTTCCTTTGTGACCACCAGCCTCCTTGACCAGGAGCTGTCCTGAGCTGCAATGGCCGTTTGACCACTTGCCCCCGCCTCCCTTTGTGCTCACAGCCCCTTTGCAGAAGCATTTCAAGCGCAAGAAGTCTCTGATCGACTGGGCTCTTCGGCGGAGCGTCAGCACCCCGACGGGCAGTCCTGCCTCTCAGTCCCCAACCAACCCCCGAAAACTCTTCGGCTTGTCCTTAACATCCGTCTGTCCTGAGGGGACTCTTCCCAAGCCCATCATGGTAAGACCTGCTTCTCGGCTCACCCACCAGAGTTTGGGTTTGAAGGGGCACGTTTGCATGAAAGCTCCAACCCAGCCAAGTTCTCCTGGCACATGGTTTCATCCACCTGCCACTGTGGAGGGGAAGATCTGGGACCTCTGGTTCTGGGGGTGGGGGGGGGAGAGGCCAGCGCTTTCCCTGTGGTCCTAGCATGGAGGGGGCTTCGCTCTTGAGGCTGGCCTGAGTGGAGGCCAAAGCTCAACTGAAGCCACGGATGGAGCAGACCGGGGCCTCCACCCGACATCCTACTGCAAAGGGAAGGAGGGCTAAGAGTTGCGTCTAGTCTTACTTTCTCCCACTCTGTCTGGGAGAAGCAAAGGGCCTCAATGTCATGTGGTTCTTCCTTTCTCCAGTTCCCATTAACTGAGTTTCTTAGATAAAGACTTTGAGCAAGGGTTCTCACCCTCAACCACTTTGACATGGGTGGACTTCAACTTCCAGAATTCCCCAACCAGCACAGCACAATAATTTTAGAAAAAGTACTATGGTGACGGTGTGATCTTTGCCTTCGCCCCACCTGCAGGACATTTTGTATCTGCTCTACCATGAAGGTCCTTCCACCCAGGGCATCTTCCGGCGCTCCGCCAATGCCAAGAATTGCAAGGAGCTGAAAGAAAAGCTCAACTCGGGCAACGAGGTCCGAGTGGACGGTGAATCTGTCTTCGTGGCGGCAGCGATCCTTACGGTAAAGTGGGTCTCCCACAGGAGTCAGTGAAACGCGATGGGAAATGTCAGAGCCCATGGAAAGCTGGTTCCCATAATTCCTGACCCATATATAAAATAACAAAAGCTGGAGTTTGATTCAAGGAAACACTTTCATTCCTTCATTCGTTGCCTTGAGGAAATAGTAGAAGAATTTCAAAGAACTTTAGAAATATTTCTGTAAGACTAGAAATATGTATTATCCCAGAAATGCTGAAATAAAGGTAGACGATGGATACGCAACCCACAAGCAACAGTGAAGGTAGGGACTTCTGAATGTGAGTGCAACGACTGAGGAGTTGCCAAAGAACAAGAGATCTTTAGGTGGAGCTGCTCAGAGCCTCTTAAAACTCCTTTTAAAAAGATTCTGAGCTCCAATGGACACCATTACTCCTCTAGCAACTAGGTGACAGGTAACCCTTTGCATGGGATTGCTGGCCTGTAGCCCCTTAACAGCTGAAGCTGTTCTCAGTCCAGCACCTGGAAGCAAAGTCCTGAGCAGGGGAGGGACGCCTGGGAACCAGCGCAGGGCTGAAGAGGTCTTGTGACTTTATTCTGACATGGAGGGGACCGGGAAGGTGAGGGTGGGTGAGGGAAGAGCCCAGGGAGGGAGCGATCTTTCCGGGAGGGTAGGAGAACAAAAGAAGTCCTGGAAGAGTCCAATTAATCAATGGGTTGGCTGGCCTCCAAGAAGTTGTGGGTGCGTCTTCCTTGGAGGTTTTCTTTATATATATATATTATCCCTTTTATTGGTTTATAATACAAAAATACAAAAGCAAATAATAGGAAAACTAGGGGAGGGAAGAGAAAAATAGGGGGAAAAGCGGAGGGAGAAAGAAAAGGCACTGACTTTCAAGTCCCTTTGGTGCAGAATAAGACGGTAACATCAAACCTCAACTTTTCACTTGTACATAATGGTATAAACTAGCCATTTTTATAACAACAGATCTATCTAGTCAGTAAAACCCAAAATCATAGTTTATTTTTTTTTCCATCTCAACCACAAAGTCCAGAAGTGGTTTCCAAGTAGAAACAAAAATCATTCAGTTTTTGTCTTTGGTCAAAGCAGCCAATTTAGCCACCTCCGCTAATTTAGCCATCAGCTTTTGCAGCCCTTTGTCCATTGTGGGGATTGAAGTGTCCTTCCATTTTTATGCATAAAGTAATCTTGTTGCTGTCAACATATATATCATCAAAAGTTCCTATTTTTTTCCAAGTCTTTTTCCATTAAACCCAAGAAAAAAGTTTCTGGTTTTATCTTTATGTTCATTTTAAGAATATTCTGTATTAGAATATGAATCCTACTCCAGTATGTCTTTGCTTTGCCACATGTCCACCACAAATGATATACATCTTTACATTTGCATTTCCAACATTCATTTGAAATACCTTTATACTGTAAGGACCTGCCTCAGCTGTCTTCCCAGGAAAGCATAGCTCTTGAAACAAACGGTGTTTCAGAAGGAATTTTTACTGAGAGAAGGGATTGCAGAGAAGTCAGGCAGAGTCTGAAGATTCCTGTACGAAGCCTTAAGCTAATTTCCCCTCTTCAACCCCCATCCAGAGCCCCATTTCGAAATATACCTCTGTCATTGTTTAAAGAGAATATTGGTTGCAAATATTGGTAATGTCTGAAACAAAAAAACAACACCCCATCTTTAGTAAGACATTAATCTTCATTACAAAAATTCTACCCAATAATGATAAAGTGCAATGTATCCCATCTTAATAAGTCCTTTTTAATATCATTGCAGAGAGGCACATAATTATTTTGAAACAGTTTAATATTTGTGTTTGTCAATATAACCCCCAAATATTTCACCTTTTGCTCAACCCTAAAGCCAGACTTTTTAGTCAGTATACAGCATCTCCATCCTGTGAGATCATATTCTTAACCAGCATTGTTATTTTCTGTTTGTTTATTTTAAAACCCGCTGAAACCCCAAACTCCTTTGATTTCCTTATCAAATATCATTGGAGATTTTCAAGAAGAGATTGGGTAACCCTTGTCTGGAATGGTGTAGGATCTCCTGCCACGGGGAGGGGTTGGGACTAGAAAACCGCTCCAGGGTCCCTTCCCACCCTCCTCTTCTTCTATGCTGTGTGTGGAATGAGGCTGACCGAGGAGCTAAATTCAGAGGCAGCCATCCAAGGGAAAAAATTTCAGCCAAGCTTGGCCCAAAGGTCGTGTGCTTCAGCCTTCCAGGCCCTCTGCCTGCAGCAGAAATGGACATTGGTCCAAGAGCTGCCTTGCTGGTATCCACGTGGCACGCGGGCTAAAGAAGCTCTGCGCAGCCCAGAAAAGGTTCTTTTCTCTCAGCAAATAAGGATTGACGCAGAAGAAGGTGGGCAGAGCAGTTACAGGTATGAGGGCTCCGTTCTTCAGAAAATCAGTTTCTCCAATATGGGGAGGGAGAGATACCTTTGCTGAATGTTTTATTGGGCCAAGTGTGATTAGACACACAAGGAATTTATCTCCAGTGCAGAAGCTCTCAATGTAAACTCAAAGCAACAGAATTATAACGACAACAACAACAACAACTATAACACCAATAAGAGGAGGCAGTAAAGAACGTAATAAGAAGGATAATTAATAATACTACAGCCATACTAGGTGGATAAATACATATAGACATTAGACAGCATTGTGAGGTGTTGAGCAGAATGTTGGCACGAGGGGAAAACACTGTCTCTGTCTCTAGTTGTTTTGGCATGCAATGCCCTAGAGCAGCATCCCGAGGGGAGAAGCTGAAAGCGTTTTATTTCCAGGATGTGAGGAGTCTGTAGACGTTTTCTCAGCCCTCCTCCTGATCCTCCCCCCCACACCACATACACACACAACCAATCAGTCTCCTCGAGAAGGCAGGCTGGTTGCAATTGTTTTTTTTCTGAAGTCTTAACTATCTGTTGGAGTCCTGTTTGGTTGCTGTACCAAACCGTCTTATGGGAGTTGGGAAGAAGACGGCAACCCATCATCCACATGTGACTCTTAGAACCATTTTCGCTACACTCAGATTGTGACCTCAGAATCTAGTGGCCAACCTGCTGCTTCCTGGAGGCTCAATCGTTAAAAATGCTTTCAAAGAAAACAAAGCTAACTTGGCGATTGGGCACGACTGACTAAGCTGCCCTACGTATCTGTACTTCAATTTAGGACTTTCTGCGAAATATACCCGACAGCGTTCTGTCCTCAGACATGCACAATCTATGGATGGAAGCCATGGATAAGGAAAGCCGAGCACACAAGACGGAAGCCATCCAGAGGTGGGTGCTGCTTTCTCTCGCCATTTCTCTCTAGGCCCGAATCAGCTACGTACGGTGGCGGGTGGGCGCCGCCTGTGTGAGGGCTGGGTTTCACAGGCTCAGGGCATTGTGTGCATGGAGCTGTTCCGAGCATGTGTATTTCATTGCTTGCTAAGGTGCTCAGGGAGGTCATATCATGCGCAACCTTTGTCGGCCTGTCAGCTGGCCGATGCCACTGCACGATGGCATCTCCCTCCGCATCTTCCTTCTGGGTGGAGCTGCTAAGAACTGGGGTTGAGCAGCCAGCCAGAGATTCCACTTCCCTGCAAAGTCATGGACGTAACTGGGTCTCTCCGTAGTCCATGCCTTTTACTTTCCTACGGCTCCATGTTCTTGGCAATCCCCACACAGGGGCCTGCTTCCTCTTCTGCCTTGGTTGGTTCAGACGAGCCGTTGTCTGAAGGAAGAAGGACCCTGGTGAGACAGGAGCAGCCTTCCTGGGTTTTCCCCTCGGCACCCAGGCTCCTGGGATTCTCCCCCAGCAGTCCAGCTTCTGCTGAAGACGCCCAGGTGGGGGGAGGGGGCCTCCATACTCGAGTCCCCCCACCCAAGCAGTTTGCACCGGGTTATCTGTGCCGATGCCACCCTGAGCACACAGGATTCTCCAGCCATGGTCCATCTTGGTCTCTTTTCTTTGGGCAGCTTAGTGAAGCAGCTTCCGGAGGCCAACCTCCTTTTGCTCAAGCACCTGTTTGGGGTCTTGCACCATATCGAGCAGAATGCGGGGGAGAATCAGATGAATGCCTCCAACCTGGCTCTTTGCATCGCCCCCAACATGCTGTGGCTTCCCAGCCCCACTGGACCCGAGGAGGAGAGCAAGTCGGCCAAGAAGGTGATCTCATCCGTTCGCACTCGAGGGCTTTTCCTCTCCGCTAATATTCCTCTCCTCCCACGGGGCAAGCCTTGAGCAGGTGGGGGGGTTTGGACAGAAAAATGGCGGTCAAAGTTATTGAAGGCCACGCTGCATTTAAACAACGTCAGCGTGTTCAAAGTTGCCAAAGAGCCCAGAGAGGCAAATTGCATGATGAAAATCTGGCTTGCCCAACCTGCAGCCCAAAGTGCCCCCTTTCAGGCCACCGTGGCCATCGGTGGGAAGGGCTGGACATGAAGGGAGTTGGAGGTCAGCCCAACTGGACCACAGCAGTTTGGGCAAGGCTGGAGTCAGTCTAGCTGCCTTAGGGTTGATACATTAAGGATTGGAGTAGAAGGCCTGCAAGGTGCCTTCCAACTCTGTTATTCCGTTATGTCCTACTTCCTGTTTACATTCAATCTGTGTAAACCTGGATTGTTAGATAAGCAAAAATTGACCAAACATCCTGGCTTAGCCTGTTATGCAAAGTGGGGCGTAGTCCTCCTCAGTGCTAGATGGAACTAGAATGGAAACATCCAGGAATTGTAAAAGCAGAAACCTTGGTTTCTTATCCCACCAGGTATTTTCATATATGGCCTTTTTTCCTACAGTTTTTTTTAATGTGCCAACATGCTTAATTAGAACAAGTGTTATCACTAAATGTATAAGTAAACAAGAAAGGTTCAGCAAAATTTGTCAATCATATATTGAAAAAAAATATATCAAGAAAATGTAATAGATTCATTTGATCAATTATAGGGAACCTTCTACAGCAGGTATAAAACACATGAAACAACAGCAAAAAAGAGATTATTCATAAACTCCTATAAAATTAAGGTCAATTACCTAAGTGAGGCAATTACCTTAGTGAGACATGCAAGGCTGCTTCTCCCATTCTGACCTGGGACTGTTCCTTTTGGTAGGTGGCCATGTTGGTGCAATTCCTCATTGAAAACTCCTCTGAAATTTTTGGAGGGGACATCGCTTCCCTGTTCCAAAGGACAGAGAAGAAGAAGTCCCGAAGTGTGGATGACTTGCTAGGTAAGATGGTTGCTAGAGTATTAATTCATTTTTATTTTTTCCAGGTACACAAAGATGTGGGCCACCTTTAACAGCATTAACAAGAGCAGGGCCAACTGCAGAGGGAATTTAAAAAAAACAAAGGACCACAACTGCATGGTTGAAGCCTTGTCCTCTTTTTATGTGCACTGAATGGTCACTTGTGGAAAGAGGGTGGGGCTTCAACCATGAGCTTACGGCTACCATCTTGACTTTTGCCATACAAACATGGACAACTCTAACCAAGAGTCTTTCAAATGTCTCCTATTCTCAGAACTTGGTTCTTCCTCATTACATACCCTCATCAAAACTTTTTAGCTGAAGAGAAACTGCAGATGGCCTGCCCTAAAAATAGTATTCAAAATTAAAATCAGCAGCACTCTAAATCCATCAAGAAATGAATCAGAAATTGTTCTTCCTAAGCATCAACCAATCAGAAGCAGAGGAAATTTTTTATTAAATCAGATGATCGTACCCCTAAAAGCATCCTCATCTGACCGTCACTCTGCAAGGACTAGGAGAGGAAAAGGACCTAAGGGGAAAGGGCCGCTTTCTGGCTGGGTTGCATCTTTTATTGTTGAATTTGTACCTGCTTCTCAACAAGATGCAGCCACGCCACTGGAAGTGTTCTTAGGCCATCCTGTCTGTGAAAACTCCTTTTAAAATAAATTTCTTGAAATGCACTTCTTAGTAGTTTGCCAACTTATTTAGAAGAGCTTTAAAATCTGCTAACCCTCCACACAATCTCAGATGGATAATTGGGGTGGAGAAGGAGGAAGAACAGGGACGCTTTGGCAGGCTTAGGCAACGAATGCCACCCTAGATACCGTCTTCTGTCCTTCAACCTTCTTTCTTCCCTCTGCAGTTCAGCACAACGATTCCTCGGATGAGATGGACGACACAGCCCCTTACCAAGAAAGAGGCCAGCAACATTATGGGCTGGAAGGAGACGATGGCCTGTTCAGCCCACCCGCAGGGCTGATTCTTAGCGAGGAACAAGAAGGCTGGGACTTGTTCAGCGAGATCACGGCTTGCTACCAGAATAAAGCCAGGAAAAACGCCAGTGCGGACAGTTACGAGCTCCTCGAAGAAGAAGAACGTTCCTTCTGCTCCCTTGGCTCGCTCGGCTCGCTCAGTCCTGCAAGGAACCGGTGCTCCTCGGAGCCCAGCGTCTGCCTGAGCTCTCCGTTCCCTGCCCAGGGCCACGAGCCGGTGGCCCGCCAATCCAGTTGTGACGCCACCATCATGCATAGCCACGGCGATTACATCCACAGGCTCAAGCAGTTGCAGCTGGAGAGTCAGAAGCTCATTGAGGAAGGTCTGAGCCCCGGGCTCAGCAGAGACAGGCAAAGCTTCTGGAGGTCACCTCTGGGCAGCCGGGCAGCCAAGGAGATCAACCCTCAGAGAACAAGCCTGTCCAACCGGTCCAGCTTCTCCAGCCTGTCTTCCACCACCACGTCTCCCTCAGCCTCCTCTTTAAGCTCCCTAGACAGTGCCTTCTCCTATTGCTCGGAGTCCTCCGCCTTCAGCCCCATGGATGTCTCCAGCCTACCCTTCATGTTTGGTACTTCCACCAGGCTCCATACTTTGTCCACCAAAGAGCTCAAGAAGCCCCTGAAAGGATGGCACAAGCCCTTTACTCCTCCTTTGCCCCGAGGCCCTGGCAATATGGACGCTTGCCCTGAGAGGCAAGTGGAGGACCAAGAGAAGAGCCACAGCGGGGGCGAGGGGCAGGTTTTCATGCCCCTTAGGACGACTGGAAATCTAGGAAACGAGGACAACTTGGACGGAAACCAGCAGGAGTCGCCAATCACCACAATGCCCTCTCTGGTTCTTGGAAGACACGGTTCTGAAGACGCCGACCGCAGGCACCCTGTTCCTGAGGCTTCTGCTCCCGTGAACCAGTATGTACGGAGGGAGAAATCTGTGAAGCACTTAGTGGTCCGATGTGCAGAACCTGCTCTTCACAGTCAAGAGAGTTTGAAGCGCACCAAGATCACAGTGTACATGGCCCCGAAAGAGCGAAGTCCGAGGGATTCCCCCGTGGCACCAGAGGAAGCCATCGGAACTGTGAGCCACCAGGGGACCAGCTCAGGTGGGAAACACGGTAGCAGAGAAGGCACTTCCAAGAGCCTACAAACTGTACGAGTTCATATTCCCCAGACAGTCTTTTATGGACAAAACACTCCTTTGGTACTCCATTCCATTTCAAGGAGGTACCACCAAGGATCTGTGGGCCGCTTGCCCCAGGAGAAGGTGCCCCAAAGAGCGGAAGACGCGGGGCAGCTGCCGATGCATCCGGAAGGGAAGCCCAGCCAGGATGGTGGGGGCACTTTCCACGTCTTTCTCCCAGCTTCCATTCGCAACACAGTCCGGGGATACTTCAGCCAGGACAATCCCAAAGACTTTGGCCCCACAGGAGCAGAAATGGTGGAGAAGGAACTGATCCGGAGCAGAGTTGAGTGGCTTAGGAGCCAGTCCTGCCCCAGCGCCCAAGCTGAGGAGCACAACAGCTTCTGCCTGTTGGCAGAGGAGACCTTTGTTTAAGAGCCCACACCTAGCCGGAGGGAGGGAGGGTCTCCTGTAAAGCAGGAAGGGGTGGGAAGCATCTCCCAGATGCCTCAGCTGGCCTCATGCAGGACCTTCAACCAGCGGGAGCGTTTTTTTCCCAAGCTTGCCCTTTTCCTGCCCAGGACAAAGAACAGGCAGCGTTTGTCTAGCACAATTTCCAGTGTGTTGCTTGTAGCTGAAGCGGTTGTACATTTTCCAGCATCACCTCATGGAGAGATGAGAAGGAAGGAAGGAAGGAAGGAAGGAAGGAAGGAAGGAAGGAAGGAAGGAAGGAGAAAAAAATACACAAAAAGTGTTCAGTTTGGTTCAAAAGTCACACCAAACCTAATAACGAAGGAATAATTTTGCCCTTCTAGAGTTTTCACAGTTTTGATTTGCTTTTTTTTTTTGAAAGCCCATTGAAAAATGCCACAAGGCTCTTATGCATTGTTAACGGTAGTTAGTTTCTTGGATGCATCATGTGGAAATCCAAAAGTTCTAGCTGCTATTCCAGTCTCCTTCTCCTTCCCAGTTTAGGCTTTCACCCTCTGTCTTCGCTTGAAGTTCCAGCTTTGTCCCTGGATGTGTCTGTGTGTGTGCGTGCGTGCGTGCGCGCGCATGCAGACTCTGTGTGCGGATGATTTATGCCTGCTGTTCTAGCTTTGGCAAAGCCTGGCACGAGCCCTTGAGATGAAGAAAGGGTTAGGGGTCCAGATGCAGCCAAGCGTGGGTCATCCCAAACCCCACCAAGGGGGGAGGAGGAGGAGGAGGAGGAGGAAGGAAAATGTCAGGAAAACCTTGTTCCATTTGCAGTGCAGAGCTATGAAAGGACCGCCAAGAATGGCCGTTCCGCCGCCTTGCATTCTGGCAGACTGTCCCATCTCAAATCATCCTGTTCGAGAGTTGCGCGAGGTTGCCCCGTCACACACGTGTCCTTCCTGCCTTGAGCTTCACGGCCTCCTTGCTCCTCCTCCGGCTTGGGAAGGCAGAAGGAAAGCCTTCCTTGGTCAACAGAGTGGGCCAGCCTTGGAGATGCTGGGTTGTTCTCATTCAACAGTGAAGGTGTAGATGGAAAACGAGCCCACTGTTAGAATGGAGAATGTTTTAGTTCTGTGCAAGGTAGACTGGGATGGCAACTGGGATGGGTCAAGAGAGTCAAGGGGTCAATCCTGGCTCTGCAATCGAAGCCCTGCTGGGAGTAAAAGCAAGGCGGGCTTTCATCACACGTTGCGGCCACCCTCTTGACTTTTTGACCCATCACCTTCCTCCCATGACTATTTCCTAGTTCCTGTAAGCTTAATTGGTAGGCAGCCCACCCCTCCAGAGATGTTGGGACCTAGAACTCCAAAGGCAGGAATTTGGGAAGGGGGTCTCCTCAGGACCTTGGCAGGACACCAGGACGGCTAGTGGAAAAGAGGGTGGGGCGAAAGAAAGAAAAAACAGTCAAGTCAATAGAAGGAGAGGGTGGAAGTAGAGATTGCAGAAGCAGAGAAAGATAGAAAGGTGGTGGATTAAGATATTCTGAAAAGTATTAAAGGTTGGGGTTTTTATGTATATGTATGCACACCCACCCACACGCACACCCACACACACACTAGCTGGATAACCATGCTTCGCATCAGGCTATGCAGGAGCCTGGGCTTTCCTTCTTTCCTCCTTTCCTTTCCTTTCCTTTCTCTGTTCCATTACTTTCCATCTCTCCATCATCTTATCTATCTATCTATCTATCTATCTATCTATCTATCTATCTATCTATCTATCATCTTATCTATCTATCATCTATCTATCTATCATCTATCTATCTATCTATCTATCTATCTATCTATCTATCATCTATCTATATCTATCTATCTATCATCTATCTATCTATCTATCTATCTATCTATCTATCTATCTATCTATCTATCTATCATCTATCTATCTATCTATCTATCTATCTATCTATCTATCAATCAATCATCTATTCAGCAAAAGTGTTATAAAATACGATCCTCCAATTGTTGTTCCAAAGGGTGGTTTTTTTTCAAGAGGCAACTGGACTTTCTGGTTTTTTTTTGAAGATGTTTTGCTTCTCATCCAAGGAGCTTCTTCATCTCTGACTGGATGGTGGGTAATAAAAATACTACAACCCTTGATGCCAAAGTAGCTTCCTGTTTGGAAGTTTAGTTTGCATCCTTTTAGAGAGTAGTTGAGGGAATTTGGAGGTTTGTCTGTGTTGTTAGGTCACCTGAGTGCTGCAACTGTCAGGTGGACAGAGTTCTTTTCAGGTGAGGTGGGGGAGTAGAATCTCCTTAGCATCAGAGCGTGTTAATAATAATAATATAGGAAATCCTAATGCTCTGATGGTCATTTCGAAAAATCCTTTCTTAGTGAGCACCTAGAAACCAAGAGGAACCTATGTGCCAAATTTCAAGTTTGTAGGCTTTACGGTTCTGGAGATTTTTGGTTCTGGAGTGGTATTTCGCTGTTATACACACACACAGAGAGAGAGAGAGAGAGTTTAGGTAGCAGAAATAATTGGATTGTTGCAAAACCCTCATTAAAAAAAAATAAAGGCATTTTTATTTGCCCCTAATAGTTGTGGACTAATCTTAAATAATATCTTTCATTTGCAAGCCAGGTAGGATGAGGTGCCCCAAAGAAGTTGAGACGGCAGCTGCGATGACACAGTCACAACCTCGCTCATTTTGTGTGTGTCACGCGGGCAGCACAAGGGGAAAAGGCCTTGATCAGTCAGGCACAGCCGCCATCTTGGTTTTCTTTTTGCGTCCTGAATAAGGCAGCAATTCGGGTTATATGAAGAATTTATGTTTTCTTAAAAGCTGATTAAAACCCATTCCATTTTGAAACTGGAAGAAAAACAAATTATCCCTATAAATCTGTTTTTATCCATTTCTCTCCTTCCTAAGTTGGTTGTTATGATTGGAAGACGAGTTATAAACCCTCCGCAGCCTCTTGCGCATTAGCTCCTTAAACAGGCTAATCTTTCTTTCGTGACATTTCTAAACTATTGTTGTAAATATTTAAATAAAAGAAATAACGGTTTTATTTGTCAAAATCCTGGCTCATTTTTCTCAATTCCTATCCCTCCAAGCGGAGCCCTTAATGAGCAAGGCTGAGGAGCCTCTGATCCAGCAATTCCTCCAGCCGGCACCCTGCAGTGCCAGAAGAGCCGCTCCAGCCCTAGGCCCCATCAGCAGAACCAAGATCAGGTGAAATGTTAGCCTGGGTAAGGCCACACTTGGCATCCAGCAATATAAAAGAAGACTCTGAAATCCCAGAACCAGGGCAGAAAAGAGCAGCAAAGAGCGCCAGGGGCCCGGATCGTACACTGACTGGGAGCTCTGTTCAAGAAAAGGATCAGGGGTGACTTGATCGCTGCCTTCCAGGACTCGAGAGTCAGTCTCAGAGGAGGGGGCAGGGCGGGGTCCACTTATTCTCCAAAGCACCCAAAGGCAGGACAAGAAACACCAGGTGCAAGCTCATCAGAGAGAGGCCCAATCTGGAAATAGGGAAGAATCCCAGGATCAATTACTCAACAGACCCACCAGCCTGCCTCCCAGAGTCCTGGGTGCTCTGTTGCTGGAAGTTCAGGAAAGATGGGACAGCCATTCGTCTGGGATGGAATAAGGGCTCCTGCCTTGGGTGGGGAGGGGAGGGGGGTTGGAGTCCAAGACCTCTTCCAGCCTGATGATTCTAGGACTCTATGAAAGGGCCAAACTCTGCCATGCAAAAACTTATGTTCCAGGGCAGAAAATGTCTTCGTGGATTCTTTAGCAGCACAGAAGTTTGAGTAAATGCCTGAGTAGGGATTCTGGCATCAACCAACACCAACCTTCTCAGTCCCTAGAGACCTTTCTTGGTGTTCCAGGGACACTCCCACCTCCCTTGGTTTCCTTCTGATTCTTACACAAAGTCTAGACCTGTCCAGGGGCCTAAAAAGAGCCATGCAACTTTTTTGAGCTGATGGACACATTTGGCATGAGAAGAGCATGGAGACCAGAGGGCTTTCATCCATATCTCACTCTAACTTTTCCCCCCACATTTAGGACAGTTGGCTATGATCCAGTATTTTTAATGCAAGTGTTAAGGAGCCCACGTCACCCCTTAAGCCAGGGGTCCCCAACCACCGGTCCGCGGACTGGTACCGGTCCGCGGAACAAGTCCTACCGGGCCGCTGGCTTGCTGGGCGCTGCCATCTTTTTTTGATGAAAAAGTGCTTCCGGTGAGCTTTTCCGGGTAGAAAGCTCACCGGAAGCATGTTTTCATCAAAAAAAAGATGGCGGCGCCAGCGCTTCCGGTGAGCTTTTCTGGGTAGAAAGCTCACCGGAAGCACGTTTTCATCAAAAAAAGATGGCGGCGCCCAGCTGATGCCGGTACCGGGCCGCGGCGTAAAAAAGGTTGGGGATCACTGCCTTAAGCCCACTGACCAGCTTTTCCCAGAGCCTCAAAGGACAAAAATTGCCTGCTGTGCAAAAATGTCCAGAGAAGGCACATGGGGTCTCTAGGCTGGTGTCTCTAGGAGTGTCATCCTAAGTTAACCCAGGTCAACTCTGACACTTAGAACCAACGTTCTCTCACAATTACAGCTGGCTAAAGCAGTGTTGCTCAGCCTTGGCAACATTGGACTTCAATTCCCAGAAGTCCCCAGTTAGCTTTGCTAGGTAGTTCTGAGTCAGATACCTTGAATCTATACTGTCCTAGGGAGGCCATGCTTGGAATCCTACATACAGTTCTGGTCACTATGATACAAAAAAAAAAAAAGATTCTGAGACTCTAGAAAAAATGCAGAGAAGAGCAACCAAGATGATAAGGCATCTGGAGGCTAAGGCATACGATGCATGGTTGAAGAAACTGGGCATGACCAGCCTGTTGAAACGAAAGGGAGCATGATAGCAGCCTTTCAGTAGTGGAAGGGCTGTCCCAGAGAAGAGGAGGCCAACCTATTCTCCAAGCACCCGAGGGAAGGACAAAAAGTAAGAGGGGAAGCTCCTTAAAGAGAGATCCACTTGGAAGTAGGGAGGAATTTTCTGATCTTCTTCTTTTTCTTCAGCGTTTGTCTCGCACTCTGGCGAGGTCCGCTAATGTCCTTGAGTACTGCTTCCACGCCTCTCTGTCTGCCACGTATGTCGGGTCTGCCTTCGCGATCTCTAGATCGGCCTTGATCGTGTCCATCCAGCGTTGCTTAGGTCTACCACGCGGTCTCGCTCCTCCGACAATCACCTTCATCGCAGATTTGATGATGGATTCTTCCTTGGCGCGACTCA